TTAGCGTAGTGGACATCATCATCAACTCGAAACCAATTCTTGATGTCCAAGGAGAACTTGTCAAAAAAAAAAGACTCATCTGGACTGAGAAGGATGAGTGCAGCGACGCCTTTTCAAACTGATCCCAAAATAAATGGCCAAATAGGGGAGTTCATTTAAAGTTACGACCAAACCTTGGAATGAGGTCTCTAGTTTTTCACATTACTCTACTGAAAATAAGCAAATTATGAATACTCGCTTGAAGCCTGCAGAAACAAGACAAGTACTGTAGCGCTGATTAGTTTAAGCGCGCGAAGAGTTAGGCTTTAGCAACGAACGGAGAAAATGCTTCGATTTGGCTGTTGCATTGCAAGTTGATCAAAGAGCAAAAAAGGATATATAGGAAGCAGTATAAAGGAAGGAAATGTGTTGCTATCGGAGACCTCACGTCTTTCTTAGGTCTCCACTGGAAACCTTAATCACAGAAAGGCGCTTTCTATTCTCATAGGTTTCAAAGATTTTGCAAACAGATCGCAATTCCTTATTGCGTATCTTCGTTTTAGATCTGAGGACTGCTTATCGGCCATTGGCTCAAAAAACAGGTTTAGTGAATTATTGACGATGTGCAGTTGAATTCCCGCACAAAAGCGCTTTCAAGCTTTGGAGCAGACTCGGATATTCTAGTCATATTGATAATTAGGTGGTTATTTACGCCGTAGGCGGTTGCATGGACATGTTCTTGAGAAGGCACAACGGAAAGAATTTCACGGGCCCTTAGTTTTTGCATCTCGTACAATTACCTTTTCGCTTGCCTTTTTACAAACGATTTTCAATTTGCCCTTCGGGAATTTGCTGCAGAGCCTTGATTAAGACATCTTTCACCTCCGCCTCCGTTCCGGACTACTCGCACATATGCATTTTTGAACGAGATGTTTCCTTTTCTCATAGTCATCTCAATATATGAAAAATTAGCCAGATTTATTTCCTGAAATAATGTCTTTGGAGGATTGTCAATTAAAGGATATGTTTACGCCACTAGCAAAGAGCATGTTAGTATTTTCTAACAACCTCTTTTGGTAGACATAGCGACCTTTGTGATAAATCGAGACTACGTGTTACGTATGAATGTATTGTGCATACTCATATTAGAGATGATAACTAGGACGAAAAGCCTTAAATCTAGGAGTTTGCGAAACCGACTCGAGTAGCAAACCCTGCGGGATGCGAAGCTTAAAAAAAACACGTACATCCTGCGAACTTGTTGTATGACCAAATTAAAAAGAAGATCGTCATATGATTGTTTTTCAGCCTCTCAAATCGCTTAATTTGAAACCACTTTTCCTTTGAGGTGTCAGTCCCTGTTGTGCTTATGCAATCAGCGGGAGTGCCAACATTTGATGAATACCCAAAATTCACCTCTCTTTATCCGATGAAGTGCGGAAATGCTGAGAAGATCCACGATTTGGTTGGAGTAGCAGCAAGGTGTTTTGTTCAATTTTTGATTGGTCTATAACGTATTGAATAGGTTAATAATGAGTTTTATAGTAGTTCAAATTGCTTAAGATAACTAGACTGCTCGTTCACACAAAAATTTAAGAGTTTTTAGCTTTTTGTTAGCTTGGGAAAATACAGCATCTTCAAAATCAAAGGCCAAACATTGTGAACTTGCAGCCTCAATTCATATCAAAGTAAAAGCATCAGAATTGAAGCCAGTCCATTCTAGGTGCATGCCGGACATGAACGATATAATTATAGTGTCGGAGGACGACCAACTTTCAGCGGAATTTTGTTCGAGGTTCCTACAATCCTGCTTGTGCTTCTGCGTTTGATGTTCAGTATCTATTTCAAGAGTGCTAATTTGCAAACCTGGTCAAGGCAATATGATGTGTGAGAAGTCAAGCATAAAAATATGGTTCCCTTCTACTAAGAAATTGGTGGACAAGAATGAAGAAAAGCAGCTAGATTACGAGAATATAGGCGTTAGTGAATTAAATGCTTTTGAAGCTCATACTATGGAAAAAAACGACAGAAGGAGACAATTATAGGTAGAAAAAGGTGAAATCATCGTCAATATAGATCCAAAATGCGAATTGCTACTGCAGGGATCTCATACAATGCGCCATAGGTTGGAAAGTTCACATACTTATCAGAAAATGTTCCTCAACCATTTTTAAAAAAAAATTTTTTTCCTATTTTAATTAATAGTAATTCGCGCTCAGATATCAGTAGGATCATTTTCTGATAAGAAAAACTGTTCGTTCAAATCATGAATTTAGGTTTCAAAATAAACCTAAAAAAATTCGCGAAATGATGAAGAAATATCCAGGTTTTTACTTACAACCTGTATTCCATCATCCACGGGTAAGATTACAACATTCTGAGCAATGATCAATCAACTATTCTTGTGTTTGCGAGCATCTAAGAGCCATATATAAGCGCAATTTTCCAGAGATTGTACCGCGGTGGTAATTCAATCTTTATTGGCGAACCTCGTCTTTGGATGGGGGATCGTGAAATACTGAAATCAAAGGATTGTAATGCTGAGTGAGTTTTATGCGACGACACTTTTATAAAAATTCATCATTAAGGCGTATACATTTAAGATGTGATGAAGGCCAATTGCACTATTTTGAAATGGACGCACGCATGCCATTCTATTCAAAGATTTTTGTAGATGGTGCTAAATGTGACTGGTTTGTTTGTCAATACTTATAGCATGAACATCCGGTTATATATCACCACTTCAGGTTCAAGATTTGCATACAAGGAAAAGAAGGGGCTGCGAAAAAACGCTACTATTGTAAGGATGCAGACATGATCAACGTTTTCGTAAGAAATGGTTTTGTCGTCATGCCCAAAGCTCGTATGTTTTTATAGACATCTAATTATTGCGGGGCTGTACGTAAACGCTTAGAACATGGGGTTGCTTTGAGCCAGTCGAAATCATATTGAGTTGTCCCATGTTGTTGACGTTCCCTCAAGAAAATTGTTACCATCGACAAGATTATGCTCTTCCCATCTTCTTACTCAGCGGGCCCGGGTTGCTGCACATTGAACAACTTCCAACAGTTTCAAAGAGTATAGCAAGAAGTTAACAGCTTGTTAAATAACTTCATACTGAATTGATTCCCTG